TGTGGGGATGGCCCCGTGCGGCCTCCTAAAGCCGGGCGAGACCAGAGCCACGCAGCGGACCCGCTCGCAGCAGCCAGGCAGCGGCTGTCTTAGGGGACGGCTCTGTCACACGGCCTCACAGCAGCAGTCGCCGCCGGGTGCAAGGCCCTAGCCAACAAATGCCCACTTTTTTTCAAACCCTCACCCAAGGGTATTTTTTTTTCATTGCTTTTCAGAGTGGAAGGGGGGGGGGAGAGGAACACGGATGTGAGAGAGACGCACTGATCGGTTGCCTCCCACGTGCCGCGACTGGGGCTGAGTCTGCAACCGAAGTACGTGCCCCTGGCTGGAATCGAACCCAGGACCCTTCAGTCTGAGGGCCGACGCTCTAACCACTGAGTAAAACCAGCTAAGGCCCACTTTATAAAAAATCCTCACTGGAAGATATGGTTTTTTATTGCTTTTAGAGAAGAAGGTGGAGGGGGGGAGAGAGAGAGAGAAACACTGATGTGAGAGAGAGAAACATTTATCGGTTGTCTCCCAGACGTGCCCCGAGCAGGGATCGAATCGGCCACCTAGTCATGTGCCCTGACCAGGAATCAAACCCACTTTTTTGGTGTGTGGGCGATGCTCCAACCAACTGAGCCACCCAGCCAGGGCATGAATACCCATTTTTAGTTAGACCACATCGAGTTATGACGGACAGATCCATCATCTCGTCTCCACCCACAGCCCGGGAACTCGGGGAGGGGCCGAAGGACCAGGACCATGGCACTGTCACTGGAAGGTTCGCTAGAAGGTCATTTAATGGCAAGTTTACAAAACACACGAGTGCAGACAGACAGACCTCAACGAGACATTTCCAGCACCAGCGGAGTCTCCCGGCGGCTGCCAGGGGATGGAGGTGCGGTGGGTGCCGCGAGGCCTCTGGCGGGGGGGCCGCCCTGCTCCCCCGCCCCAGCTGGGCCTGCGCCCAGCTCCCCGCGGGCATCTGGGGTGCTGAAGACCTTGCCGTAGTGTTCGATCAGCAGCTCGGTGAACAGGTTCAAGGGCACCAAGGCACTGAGGGAAGATGCCCCCTGGGACGGCCAGATTAAATTCAGCCCGAAGACGCAGGCCAGGTTGGAGCTGGTCATCTTGTTAAAGAGGCTCTCCCGGGACACCTGAAGGACACAGGGAAACAGGGGTGACCCTAGGACCTGCGCAGTGGGTGGGGAGCCTGTACTGTGACCTTGGGCTGCCACCTCCCTGCTCCAGGCCTCAGTTTCCCCATCTGTAAAAGGAAGGGATCTGCCCGGCCAGCGTGGCTCAGGGGTTGAGCATCGACCCATAAACCAGGAGTTCACTGGTTCGATTCCCAGTCAGGGCACAGGCCCGGGTTGCAGGCTCGATCCCCAGTTGGGGGCGTGCAGGAGGCAGCCGATCAATGACTCTCTCACCACTGATGTTTCTCTCTCTCCCCCTCTCCCTTCCTCTCTCTGAAATAAAAACATTTTTTAAAAAAGGAAGGGATCAGCCTTGATGCCCTGAGGGACCCTCCGGCTCTGACCTTCTATGATCTCCTCCTGGGACCCCTCAGAGCCCCCCCCAAGACTCCTCTTTACTCCAGAGGACGCAGGCCCCTCGGGTGGTGGCCTCTAGCACAGGGGCCAGGAGCATGGCCTCTGGCATCACCCAGCCAGATGACCTGGGACACAGCCCCCCTCCCTCCAGGGCCCCCCCACTCAGGAGATGAGGTGGGACCAGTAAAGGTCATGGGCAATAACCGAGGGCAGTGGTGCAGGAGTGGCAGGGGTGGGCACGGTGACCCCGGCCGGCCGCACCGAGGGTTGCTCAGTGGGGTTACTGCCCGCTGGGCCTTGGGTCAAGTCCTCTGGGGCCAGGGGGTGGCCTTCCAAGGCTGAGGAGGGGTGACCCCGGGCCCTGGGTAGTGTGGGCGCTGATGCGGAGGGCAAGGCCCCCGCAGCCCTGTTCATCCGCTCGCCCACCTCGTGCAGGAAGCCCATGAGGTAGCCGAGGACGGCGTAGTTGTGCTCCGGAAGGCCCCGCAGGATCTGGCGGCAGCGGGTCACCCGCAGGCTGCTCTCCACGCCTGCAACGCACGAGGGTCCTTCCTGAGTCCCTCCCGAGGGCAGGGCGGGCGCGGGGAGGACAGTGTCCCGCTGTGGGGCCTGGGCTCCTCCTTCCAGCAAACCCTCTCTCCTCCGGCTCCATTCCCCTGGGCAGCCGGTCGCTTTACAAAGGGGAGTCCAGGCCCGGGGCTGGCAAACGACAGCCAGAGGGCCAGAGGCCAAAAGGCCTCCTTTTATCAATAATGCTTTATTGGCACAGCCACACCCATTCGCTTACACTGTCTCCGGCTGCTTCTGCAGAGTTGAGTCTGGCCCCAAAACCTGAATTATTTACCATCCGGCCCTTTTACAGAACAAACATGCTGACCTCGCTCTAGGCCACCTGAACCCGTTTATGACTCTGCAGCTCAGGTGCCCACACGTCTCAGGGGGCGGGATGGGGCTGCCCCAGGTTCCGAGACCCCAGTTCCCTCTTAACTACGCCCTCACTGAGCTCTGGGAGCTTCAGGCCAAATTAGCAAGCCCTCCCCAAGCTCCTGCCGCAGAGGCGCGTCCACACACTTACCCCCTCCCCCCCACACACATTCCCTTACATACATGTACACTCACACATTCACACTCATGCATTCACACACACTTTCACCGACACACTCCCTTACACGCTCACCCCCCCTCGCACCCCAGTCCTCGGCGTGCTGACCTCCCGCTCGCCTTGGGCAGGGCTCCCCTGCACACTCTGCTCTACAAACACAGCTGCGGCTGAAGGACACAGCCCCCCACTGTGAACGCCCCGGTTGGCTTTTTAATCACAGCCATTCTTTCGTGGAAACAAGCTGTCCTGGACAATTCATATGGACACGGAGTCCCCACGAGGTGGGACTTTCGGAGGAACCAGCACCTGCATCCACCCTCTTGCTCTGGAGCTCGGCTTCCAGCCTCACCTTTCGGGGAGTGACGGTCCTGGAGTGGGTCCTGGTGCAGGGCCCACCTCCAGCTCCCGCTGTGGTCCCTTCAGAAAGAGCACCCAGGGGAGCAGCAGGGACCCGCTCGCTGACTGTCACAAGCCACCGTGTATGGAGCACCTACTGTGTGCCAGGAACCACACTGAGCCTGTCCTTGGCCACCCTGCTACTCTGCCCAGCTGCCCCTGATGACCCCCGAGCCCTCCCACGGACACGGGCGGCCTGGCTGAGGCGGGCAGGAGTCCAGGTGGGGACAGCACCTCTCCTGGCCCTTGGCTGGCACCCCGGGGCAGGTACGTACTGGTGATGCCCAGGATCTGCTCATAGGCCTTGAAGGTCAACAGCGGTTGGGGCAGCTCCCGCAGGAAGGTCTTCAGGATCACGGCAGCGATGTGCACGTCCCCATAGTCATCGAAGTTCACAGGCTTCCCTGGACACAGAGCACTGCCTGTCTGAGCTCGGACCCGGGCTAGGGGTGCCCGCTTCAGAACAGGCTCGGATGCAAAGTGGCTCTAAACCTCCCAAGGGGAAGAAGAGCCTTATGCTGGAGTGGCATGTCCTCTGGAAATGGGGGTGCTGTCACCCCACCCTCTGCTTCTCCAGGGCGCCTGGCCGAGGCTGGGCGGGTTACCGATGTCTCTGCTGTGTGGCTTGGCCTAGGTCAGGGCCCAGGCTCTCATCGCCCCCAGTGCCCAGCGCAGGGCTGAGAAGGGCCGGCCCACAGGTGCCCAGTGCTGGCCCTGTTGCTTAACGAGTGAATGCGTGACTATGGCAACGATGAGGGTGCAGGGAGTAGAGGGGAGCCTCCCTGTGAGCTGACCGATGTCACTGAGGTGGCTCAGCTCTGACACCGAGTCTCCCTGCCTGCAGGTTATACCTGGCAGCTGAGGGAGCCCAGCCGAGCCGGGCAGAGTTGCTGCCTAGTGGAGCCCCCATGAAACTATTCCCTGCACTCAAACCGCCCGACCACCCGGTCTGGGAAGAGAAACCCCAAGGGCAGAGCGGCATCGTGTGGCCACCTGCCCCAGGAGACTGGCCACGGGACTCCCTCGGGGGGCTGTCCAGGCCCTGGGCTATTCTGGGGGCTGGCGGACAGAGCTCCGCTGCCCTGGGTATCGGGGCTCTGAGGCCCCAGAGGGCAGAAGGCTCGGGGGGGGGTCCCCGGAAGCCGACTCACCTTGGTTGTAGAGCCGCTGGATCTCGTGGACCGTCTGCACGCTGGCCGATCTCCGGAACAGGCCCTCCGTGCGGAGCCCTGCAGGGAGAGAGCCCCAGGCGCCTCACAGGCCCAGCACGGCGGGCTCCCAGGCCCCGTCGGGCTCCCAGGCCCCGCCTGCCTGTGCACCGCCCTCCTCGGCTGGCGGGGGCCACGCAGCGAGGAGAGCGAGGCCGAGAGGCCCGCGGCCCACAGCCAGCAGGGCAACAGGCATCTCAGAGCCACGATCGCAAAGAACTGAATTTGGCGGACGATCTGAATGAGTGTGGAAGTGGATCCTTCCCCAGAACGCAACACAGCGTGGCTGAGACCTTGAATTTCGCTTTGTGAGACCCCTGAGCAGAGACACTACGAAATAACACTCATGGTGTTCCCGGCCACTACGTTCGTGCTGATTTATTACACAGCAAGGAAACCGGAGCAGCGGCCTCCCAGCGGGAGAGCTCAGGCCTCCCTGACTCCATGGCCAGCTCGTCCCTGCCGAGGCGAGACCCTGGCTGTCACAGTCACCGCTTTGCGGAGGGAAGGGTAATGGGGAGGTCACCCACCGTGAGCCCGAGAGGCTGTGCGGTCACCGCGGAAACCCAGGCCTGGACCGCGGCTGGACAGGGGGTGTCCAATTCGTTCATTCAACAGATACCTAGTGAACACCTACTGTGGGCCGTTTTTATATTTTGTTTTGTTTTTAATGAATAAAGGAGTAGCTGCATTAAAGAGTTTCTGACTGGTATTTATGCTCTATCTTTCATCTCCTTCTGACATACGTGACGCAAAGGGAAGTGGGAGAAATGACAAAGTGGAGACAGGTTCAAGTGACACTCAGGCCCTCCAGCTGCGGAGGCGAGGGCTTCGTGTGGGTAGGATGGGCAGCTCCTGGAGCGCCGGGCGGCAGTGGCGGTCCCCTCCGCCCCTGCGGCACCTGCCCCTGCCTCCGCAGGTGACCACCGCTCCTCCTGTTAGGGTCAAGGCGGCCTCCGCGCACCCTCTCTGTGGACCTGAGCTCTGGCCTCCGGGATGTCGGAGCAGCCACAGGCTCAGCCCTCCAAAGACACCGATGGGTCTGCGTACCAAGCTCGTCTATCCTGTCAAAGGGTCCCTTCTACGGAGGGCCCGTGTGTCACCTCATTTAGGCCCCACAAGATCCCGGTGAATCGGGTACTGTTATTAACCCATTGGGCAGATGAAGAAACCAAGGCCTGGAGAAGGCACGTAACCGGCCCAAGGTCACACGGCTAGTACACAGCAGAGCCAGGATTCAAGTCCAGACAGTCCAGGTCCAGAGTCCACAGCTGGAGCGACTGTGCCTGAGCCCGTCCCATCCTGGTCACCCACCCTGCATGGGTGCCCACTCCTCCAATTCCCTGGCCCGGGGTGCTCAGGACCCGAGACGGACCTCCCAGGGCGGTGCCTGGGGCAGCCCTCGCGCCCCCAGCCGGGGCCAGCCCTCGCTCACCTTTCTCTCTCAGGTATGTGACTGTGAACTTCAGCACAGGGGGGATGAGTTCGCCTTGGTTTTTGTCTTTGAGGCTAAGGGGAGAGAAAGACAGCAACAGTTTTTACCTGGGCTGAATGGGCGGTCATGGAGGGCACAGGGCTCTGGTCCTCTCTGTACCCCAGTGAAAACACAGGACCGAGGAGCCCTGCAGAGAGAGATGCAGCCTCGGCGCTCAGGAAGCAAGGAGTGGCATAAATAATGAAACTAGAAAGGGCAGTGTCTGAGGGCTCCACCGGAGATACATACGACACAGGGGCGACCGGAGTGGGAAAGGATTCCCATGCGGCAACTTCTGAGCTGGGTTTTGAGGGATGGGTAGGAGCCTCAGAGGAGAAAAGAGGGAAGGGCATTCAAGAAAGAGGGAAACACAGAGGGGAGGGCCCAGAGGTGAGAGAAGATTTGGCCGTGAGCAAGGGCAGAACCAGAGGATTTGGTCTAGAAGCTGATCAGTCAAAAAACATCCTCAATGAAAACCCAGAGTGTTGCCTCAGACAGGCCGTTACCACTCGGTCTCTGTGCTAATCTTATATAGATCCACGTAAAGAAACTTTAAAATATTATGTACAAATATAAAAGGTCCTCCACCCCCCACATACATACACCCCACCCCAGCAGAATCAGGATCTACTGCCCCCATCGGGTCCCACTTCACACTTTTTCTTTCTTCATCGGCTAGATTTTCTTGCTCCTAAGGCAACATCTTTGAGAGACCTTGTGGGTGGAGGGAAAGGGACTCTGAAGTCAGACACACCCGGCTGGGATCCTGCTCTGTCACTTTTTAGCAGAGACGAATGTATGTTTTGCTATTCTTAGGAGGCGTGTTTCTTAAACATCAATTAGGGTAATTTGGTTGACTGTGTTGTTTGTGTTTTCTAGACTCCTTTTCAGTCTACTTATTCTATCAGCTACTTAGAGAAGGGCATTAAAGTCTATTAGAATTGTGTGTCTGTTTCTCCTTTCAACTCTACCAAGTTTTGCAGGATATATTTTATTTTATTTTATTTTAATTTTATTTATTTATTTTTAAAATATATCTTTATTTACTTCAGAGAGAGGAAAGGTGAGGGAAAGAGAGAGAGAGAAACATCAACAATGAGAGTCAGTGATCGGCTGCCTCCTGCACATCCCCAACCGGGGATGGAGCCCGCAACCCGGGCATGTGCCCTGACTGGGAATCGAACCCCGATCGCCTGGATCCTAGGTCAACGCTCAACCACTGAGCCACGCCCGAAAGGGCTGTGGCATATATTTTAAAGCTCAGTTACTAGTCCATACACTTTTAGGGTTATGATGTCCTCTTTATCATGGTGAAACGTCCCTCCTCTTTGCCCCAGTCTTATCGCTTGTTGTGAAGCCTACTTTCTCTGATATGAATACAGCCACTCCACTCGCACTTCCTTTTTGATCGGTGACTACACAGTATGTCTCTTTCCATCCCTTTACTCTCACCCTGTAAAGTCTTATATATTTTTATATTGTAAACATCAGTAAGCTCTTCCTTATTAAAATACAATCTGAGAATCTCTGTCTTTTAATTAGAATGTTTATGCTGCTTATATTTCATGTAATTATCCATATGGCTAGGTTTAAAGCCACCGTCTTGTGAATTGTTTTTTGTTCCTGTTCCCTCTGTCCTAAACTTTGTTTTGAGGATTAGTTCAGTAATATTTTAGGAGCCCATTTATCCCCCATTAATATATTAGACATATCTCTTTATTGGTGGTGGGCCTATTTTTACAATACCGATGTTTAATACCATATCGTCTGCTTTTAAATACTACTATACTACTTTACTTACAGTGTCAGCACCTCACAACAGTGTATTTCCACTCTGCAACCCCCCCCCGTGTTGTGCCACATACTGTACAATACTCCAACGTGTTCGAAACACCACACTACTTTTTTTTTGTTATTTTTGTTTAAACAGTCAACTTACTTTCAAAGCTATTCTTTTTTCTTTATTTTAAAATCTATCTTTATTGATTTCAGAGAGAGGAAAGGAGAGGGAGAGAGAGAGATAGAAACATCAATGATGAGAGAGTCACTGATCACAACCCAGGCATGTGCCTGACCGGGAATCGAACCCCGATCGCCTGGATCCCAGGTCGACGTTCAGCTGCTGAGCCACGCCCGGCCAGGCTCAAAGCTATTCTTAAAGTAGGAAAGTAAATTCCTGTTTACTCATATATTTACCCTCTCTGACACTCTTCATTCCTTTGTGAGGATCCAAATTTCCTAGGTCCATTGATTCCAAAGCCCAGGCTAGTTAACGCTCCTGGGAGGGGCTCAACTGAGACCCACAGAACAGGCCGGACCCCGATGAGCTGGGATCGCCACGGCCGCTGAACACACACTCTGGCTACAGCTTAGCCAATATTTTGTGTTTTAAAAGCTGACTTCCAGAGCGGGAAGGGGCCTGTGGGATCATGAGACACCGAGGTCCCAGAAGGGGGGGTTTGCAACAGTCGCAGGGCTCCCAGCCGAGCATGCTTCCCTCCCCGGTGGGTTTAAGGAGCACCGACAGCCTGGCCCGCGCCTCCCACAGCAGCCCGCAGAGCGGGGCCCTGGCATTAAATTACTGCTCTCAGTAGAGCAGAAACCACAGTATGGATTTCTCCTCCCCTCCTCTCCCTCTCAGACTTGCTGGCCCGGAGAGGGGCTTGCTCCAGGGACTGGCAGAGTCAGTGCAGGGAATGGCAATTGCTCTGGGGGGACTCTGGATTAAAGACGCGTGTGCTCCAGGCTGGGTGGGGGCACCCAGGGCAGCAGCGGGGACCACCCCACACCGCGTCCCTCCCCAAGTAGCTCCGCGTGTGAGGGCCAGGGCCAGGGCCAGGGCCAGGTCTCTGCCAGGATGCTTGGACTGTGTTAAACCCACACCCTAAAGCTCAGGGGTGCACAGTGCGCTCCTGGCCAGTGTCTGCAGGGCCGGGGAGGGGTGCGCATGGGGATTCTCGGCACATGATTCTTGCTTGTAACCCCTCCCCTTGGGAGACGCATTTTGAGTAATTCAGAGCACGTTCTCTCCTTGGTTTTGCACAGAAGGAATGCGGGGATGAGGCGAGTTTGTGACTTTTTAAAAACAGGAGGAACAGCAAGGGAGGGAGGGTGACCTGGAATTGCAGTGATAACAGGGAGGGTGGGCAGGTCTGCCTCACTGGGCACCTAGGCTGTTCCCATCCTCTGGGCCGGTCATTTGTCCCATGTCCCCTCCCAGTTTCTGAGACAGATGGATGGCTGCAGCTCACAGCGCTGATGGGCGAAGGTCTCAGCCACAAAGTCAGGCCGGAGGGCCCAGGCCCAGGCAGAACTGGGCAGTGCCCGTGAGCCTCACAGAAAGCACCGTGCCGTGAGGACCTACTGTGTGCCCAGCGCGCTCCTAAGCCCACCGGCTTCCTCGCAGTGCCCGGTGTCCCCCGTGTCTACAAAGGACAAAACAGACTCAGAGAGGCTGATTGTTTTGTCTGAAGTCACACAGCGTGGGGTTCAAATCAGATCTGATTCCCAGGCTCCTGTACCTGGAGCAGCCCAGGGCCTGTGCCCTGAGGTGGGGGTTTGCTGTGCTGTGTGGGTGCTGCGAGGTGGCAGCAGGCCCTGGAATGCTGAGACCCACCCTGCACAGCTGACCCTCTTTGGGAGGGGAATGGGCAGTGGAGACAGGTTTCAGGTTGGCATCATCAGCGAGACCAGTCCCCAAAATTCTAACGGGAGGGAGGCCCTGGCAAGTCAGGCTGGCACACGACTTGGAACCAGAGCCCAAGGCGGCCCGTTCCCCACCCCGCAGCCGTCCCAGGTAGTATCCTATGCTCTCTGCGCAGCGCCTGGCGCAGGACACCGAGGACGAGTGGCTCAGAATCCTCCAACTCATATCACCCAACTCATTCATCTCAGAAATAAGGAAACAAGCTGAGAAGGGGGGCTGAGTTCAAGGTCAGGTGGCTAATAGGGGGAAGAGCAGTCGGGAAGGACAGGATATTGCACAGTAACAACAGACCCTCAGTCCCAGCACTGAGCCCAACAGAAGTTTACTTGTCACTTGTGCTCTGTGTCCGGCATGAGTGCCAGCAGGGGACACACTGGTCACTCAGGGATGTGAACTGCCATCTCGACCTGGTCCGTCACCGCACGTTGGCTCCTAAAGGTCCCTCCCGATGTGACCCTCCCCACCGCTGCTCCTGTCTTGGCCAGAGCAAGGCCCGTGGCCACGCTTCACGTCCGAGGCGGTGGGAAGTGTCCCGGCCGTGGCCTGGGGTTGGGGTCAGAACTGAGCAGCGGTGACGAAAGCTGGGGTAAGAACCCTGGGTCCCCGGTCCTCTGCTCACTGCTCGGTCCCCTGCGCACAGGTGCACAGACACACAGACACACAGACACACACACATGCGCGCGGCCCCGGTGACCAGCTCACCCTCCACTGTTCCTGCAGCGTTGAGCTCGGCTGCCAGAGGCAAAGGTCTGGGGACAGCCGGCCCGCACGCAGAGCGTCCCCTGGTCCCACAGAGCAACAGGCCCCGGCCTGGCCCTGGCTCACTTACTACTGCAGGCTGACGCCGAACTGCTGGGTGGGCAGAGGGGGCCGCGGAGGCGGCGTCTTGGCGGGAGGGAGCGGCCGGCCCTTGCGCAGGTTCCGGAGCCTCTCGTCGTATCTGTGGGCACAGCCGGAGCCGGCTCTCACCTCGCAGGGCAGAGGCTCGGACCACAGGAGCCCCCCGCCCCCGAACGTCCGCAGGACATAGGACGCCTCACCCTCATGGGCCCATGTACAACACTGCCCCCCCCACCCCCACTGCAGCAGGGGGTTCACACAAAAGGCAGGGAGGGAAGTCCAACCCCATCAACCGTCCAGTCGCTCCTGCTAACCCCTGGCCGAGTCACCCACGTGTCTGCGTAGGGACTTCCCCCCTGCTGCAAACACCCTTCCCTGGCTTTTTCAATAACCCTCACCCGAGGATATTTTTTCAGACAGAGTGCAAAGGGGAGAGAGAGAGAGACACTGATGTGGGAGAGACACATCGATTGGCTGCTTCCTGCACCCCCCCAACTGGGGCCGGGGATCGAGCCTGCAGCCCAGGGACATGCCCTTGGCCGGAATCAAAGCCAAGACCCTTCAGTCCACAGGCTGACGCTCTAACCAGTCCAGCTAGGGCCTTCCCCGGCTTCTTGATCCAGTCAACTGTCCCTGTGAAACTCCCTCAGGAGTCATCTCCTCCTGGAAGCCTTCTGTGATATCCCCTCTCCACGAGGCCCCTCCCCAGCTGGGCTCATGGCCTCCTGCAGCCCCTGTCGTCACCGACCTGTGGTCTCTACGACCTGGGCGTGTCCTGAGGGCAGAGATACTCCCTGCGTGGCTCCATCCCCAGCATCTGGCATCTGACTTGGTACCAGGGGCAGCTCAACATCTCCACTCCCCCTGCAAGGCTGCTGACCTCACCTGCACGCAGCTCGGTGAAGGCCCTGCTCCTTCAGAGGAGCCGCCCAGAGAGGGAGGTGCAAAGGGCAGAGGGTGCCCAGGTGGGGGCAGAGGGTGCCCAGGTGGGGGCAGAGGGTGCCCAGGCATTAGAGGGCATGCAGGCAGGGTCAGAGGGCATGCAGGTAGGGTCAGAGGGCGCCCAGGTGGGGTCAGAGGGCGCCCTGATGTGCCTGAGAACATGTCAGTCCATCTAGTTACCCACACACCCAAGAAATACCCCTAATTCTCTGCTCTAAAGCAAAAAAGCTGAACACCGGGACTGTGAACGGCAGTCACCCCTGTGGCTATTCTTAAAAACCCATTTCGCGGTGGCGGGCGAGGAAAACACCGCGTCCACGCACGTGCCTCCCTCAGGCCGTCCCTCTGAGTGGCAGTCAGCATCCTTACTGCGCGTCCGCGGATCCACAGAGTCCGAGCCAGGCCCGGCTGGCACACGCTGGAAACTAAGATGTCCCCACAGATGGGGTGGGGCCGAGACCCGCGGAAACGGGCCGCTGCGGTCCACGTGCTCGGGACAGGGTCCGACTCACCGCACAACCTCCGGGGGGATGGCCAGCTGCTCGCATTTGAGGTGCTCACGGAGCTCGCTCAGATAGTTGACGTAGGTGACCTTTTTCCCAAACTTGTGGCTAAAAAAGCAGAAGCAAGAGAGTGAAAGCAATGAGGCTGCTGCAGAGCTGTGGGCGGCCGGAGGGGGGGAGAGCTGCAGAGTAACTGCTGACAACCTAAACCCATCCGCAGGGCCTCAGTCCCCCCGGGAAACGGGGCTTCTCCCTCCTAAGGGCAGCTGTCTGTAAACCAGTCCACTGTCCGACCACCACCTGTGTCCGTCGCTATTTTTTTATTTTTTAAATTCATTTTTAACTTTTTCAGTTACAGCTGACACAGTGTCATTAGTTTCAGGTGCACAGCATAGTGACTGGACACGTGTGCGATGTACGAAGCGTCCCGATAAACCTGGTGCCCACCTGACGCCACACAGTCACTGCAATATTACGCCCTGTGCCCACTGTTATCAGCGAGCCTTGGTTTCCTGAGCCGCAAAGTGGGGAGAGGACAGGAGGGCTGAACGTGGGAGCCGTGCATGCCCAGTGCCCACTCCTGGCAAGTGACCGCTACTGACCGGCCCGCTTGTTTCTATTTTATTTTTTAACTTTTTCTTTCAATCCTCACCGAAGGATACTTTTTCCGTTGCTTTGAGAGAGAGAGAGAGAGAGAGAGACATCGATGTGAGAGAGGAACACTGACAGGGTGCCTTCTGTTCGTACCCCGACTGGGGATCGAACCCACAACCTGTGCCCTAGCTGGGAATTGAACCCGCAACCTTCTGGCGCACGGACGACTCTCCAACCAACCGCGCCCCAGCCAGGCCGGCTGCTGGGTCACAGCTCCCCCGAAGCGTGGCTGGCACTGGACGGCGCGAGCTCACCACACGGCCCGACGGGCGCGGACTCAGCGTCCCTGGGACGCCGGCCCCACAAAGAAGCTTCTCGCGTCCCTGTGCTTATGTGTGTGTGCGTGTGTGTGAGAAGCGCACACGTGAGGTGCAGCCTCTCAGCCAGCTTTCGAGTGCGTGACCCCCGTTGTCACCAGGGGCTCCCCCCTCTTACAGCTGAATCTGAGCTGTTACTGCAGGAGCCCAGCCTGAGCCCAGGGCGGGCGGGAGGCCCCGCCTCGTGCACTGGCTCCCCCTAGTGGGAGAGGGGGAATCAGGCGGGTGCCGGGACCCCCAGCACCCGCACTGAGGGGCCAAGGGGGCCTCTCAGTTCTGCAGGAACCACCTGGGGACACCGAGGCGTCAGCTTCAGAGCCGCGGGGAGGCTCCTCGGGCCAACGCGAGCACCCCTGCATCTTTCCGTCCCAGCTCCCGGTGTCCCTCTCCAGCCGCCCGGACACTTGCCGAACCCCAGGCTCTGCAGGTGGCAAGCAGGGCTCGGGACGCTGTATACCGAGGTGGTGGTGGGGGGGGTGGGGCGCAGGGTTCCCCCAGAGTCACCTCGTACCACGAGACACGCCGGGAAGTTCCTTCACATCCAGAGTGGCCCAGAGAGTGGAGGGGGCTCAGAAGGCAGGCTTGAGCCCCCGAGAGCAATCTGGGTGTCACAGATGGTGTGTGTGCACGCGTGTGAGCACATGCATGTGTGTAGCAGCTCACTAAGAAAAGAGTCCCTGGGGCCCCGGAGGGTGGGGCGGAGACTGTGGACAGCGGCCAGTAGGGGCCGGCACCTGATCAGGGGCTTGAAGACGTTCCACAGGACCTTGATGAAGCCGGTGGGGTGCACCACATAGAGAGCCTTCAGGTTCTTCTTGTACCTGAGGGGAGGGGGCAGGACTTCAGAGCAGGCCCCTCGGAGACACCCGAGCTGCGGAGCCCGCTTCTGCCAGAGCCAATCCAGGGACGTCGAACCAAACTCAGACAGCAGTCGGACTCGGGGAAACCAGGGCCGCGCCCCCCCGCCCCCGGGCAGGCCCCCAGCACTTAGCGCCGGTGAGATTACGGGTGCCCACTCACAGAGGCCCGCGGGGGTGCGCCCCGAGGGCAACGTGGCCACAGCTCTCAGAACCAAACCTGCACAGACCCTTCAACCCCTTCTCTGCTAGGAACCGATGCTGGGGAGCAGGGGGTCCACTGTGTGGGCCACAACAGGCTGTGAGACGGGCGACACCGTGCCACACAGACGGGCACCGGGCACCTCCCTTAAAAACGAGGCGCTTCTTAGCTCGCCCGCCTCCCTCCTTCCTAAATAATTCAGTTCGAAGTCACCAGGCCGAGCCAAGGCGGCTGGCATGCACGGGCCAGGGCCAGAGGCACCCAGGGCAGGCAGGGAGGCAGCCAGAGGCCAGCGGGGTGGCCGTGGCACTATCGGGGGTCAGAGCGGGCCTGCCCGCTGCTTTCTACAGCCCACAGGCTAAGAGGGGCTTTATGTTTTTACAGGGTTGAAAAGAAATTTCAGAGGTAACAGTTCATGACACGACACGTGAGAATGGGGCGAAGTTCACATTTCAGCGTCCGAAACTGCTTTCCTCGAACCCATCCCCGCCCGTTTGCTCACCTACCGTCTGGCTGCCCTCAAGCCGTTCGGCAGAGCCGAGGAGCTGGGGCGAGGCCTGGAGGTGGGCAGAGCTGGAATGCTGGCTGCGGGCCCCGCAAGAACACGCGTGCCCGCCGGCCCGGGCTCCGGCGGCAGGTGCCCCAGCCGCCCCAGGCTCGCC